TGTGTACACACACACACACACACACACACACACACACACACACACACACACACACACACACACACACATTTATTATTTTTTTTCCCGGAATTTTCAGAAAAGTCCACTTTCATCTCTGTATAATAAAAAAATATCTTTTTTATTATTTATTTATTAGTTCATTAGCCATTGACTTGTTTTAGTTCTGCCGCACTAAAGTTATTCTCTATAATTTTTCGTTAAATATTTTAGGGTGCCTGGAACTGTTTTGTTGGAATTCCATACATACACCAGTGGAAAATATTACTTTGGATTTTGTATGAAACGGTTTTAAAGTCAAGTTCTTAAAACGGATTCCCCCCCCCCAAAAAAACAAGTTTCTACGGCACGTGTGCAACCACCTTGATATCATTCTTCATCTTCCAGTCAGCTGGACAAACACTTCCGCCAGCTCTCTCAGGCAGAAGAGCTGCGCGCACGCTAGTGCCTCGCGGTAGCCGGACCTCAACCAACGGCCGAGTCCGCAGTCCTTAGATGTCAATCAAAGATAATCATCGCATCCACTCCGTCCTTCCTGACGTTCGATTACGCGGCCGTGAGCTGCACTGCGCTGCAGTGCTACAACGGCGCAAACAAACAAGCGCTCAAACCGCACGGGTCATCCTGTTAATATTGAAGAAATAGAACCCAGCAGAGGGGCCTGTGCGGAATTTCATTTGCAACGCTTCCCTTTGTTGTCTTGGTGCCGTGTTGAGTCAAACCTCCATAGATCAGCCTCGGTTGCCTGCCTGCCCTCGGGGGGTTGGGACCACGTGGTTACCTTCCTGACTATTTACATACTAACCGCCACACCCAGGGACGCACAAATGATTTTTGCCTGCTTGTTTATTGCGACGAAGGATGCAAACCAGTTTTGCTCGTGGCTTGACATCAGGGCAGAGCAATTAAGAGAGAGTGGGTCAAGTATGGTTTCCACACTTTAATCACTTCCTGGACAGGAACTTCATGACACACACAACGCGTTCGGTTTTGTTTTATGTCAAATCAAAATGAACACTTCACACCAAAATGGCAGACTTGCTGTTTCTTTTTTTTATATATGCCTTCGGAGATTTGTTTGTGGGTCTACTAATGACAGATATGTCGACCCAATTTCCTGATGCTCGGATAAATTGGCTTTAAGGGGCTGACCTTTATTGAATGACCCTGAGGTTGCCGTCCATACAAAATGGACATCTTGTATCCTTTGAGGAAACTTCCACTGAGAAAATATTAACACGGTGAATTTGTGAAGCGTGAAGTGCAATGCGGGGGGAGGATTAATATGGATCAAAATTGGCCAACATTGTACGTCGCGATCACAACGTACTGCTGCATTCATCACTGTCAGGTTTATGTGTCCAAATGTGGTCAATTTAAATATTTTTTCACTATTTTCAGTTTTTGTTTTGAAGTTTGCATATGGATTTTAAAATGCATCGTAATTTATCTCTATAATGTTTCAGGGAGAAAAAAAAATAAATCACCTGTTGTTGGCTCTCACCCTTCATTAACCCTTTCATGCACCCTGTAAGCTGATAACATGATAAGCTGTCCACTGTAGTAACCGCTGTCCCTCAAAGGGTTGATAAATATTACATCATATATTATTTGCCCTGCGATTGGCTGGCAAACGGTTCAGGGTGTCCCCCCGCCTACTGCCTGAAGACAGCTGAGATAAGCTCCAGCACCCCCCGCGACACTTGTGAGGATAAGCGGATCGGAAAATGAATGAATGAATGAATGAATAAGATATTATTATATTACTCGGATTATATTATTATTATTATTATAATTCTGAAAACCTGACAAATACAAGGGCAGATTTGGAATCAGCACAAAAAAAAAAGGAAAACTTTACTTGCATCACTTATTTAAAAAAATGGAGTAAAAATGTGTTTAGTGGTGTTATAAACGAATTGCAAGTGTTGCAAATCGCTACAGAACAAATCGCATGAACTCAAGGCTCAACTAGCTGAGAGGTGTCGTAAAAACTGCACCTTTTCCTTTACTCTGTGAGGGCCATGCAGCATGATGTCACCTCAAGAAAGTCTGGATGTTTGTTAGACAAATGCTGAGTGAAAATCGTTTGTCACCATTGGTTAAGCCTGTTTGGTTAAAAACGGATAGCTGGTGCAGAAGGACACTTGGTCGGTCACCAAGTGAGTGCAGAGTAATTTGTCAGGGGACTCTACGTGCTAGAAATATAAAATGTAACACTAACTTCAACGATGCAATGTTTGGAAAGTTACAATTTTGGAGAATTCAGCCGACGGGGAAAATCCAAAACCCGTTTGTACACACGTCATACTTGATCCGTTTGTCTACCTTCAAGTTCAACATGTGCTTTCTTACCGTCCATGGCTGCAGGTGGAGGTGTCCTCTGCATGGCTGGCTAGCTCGCAGACATCTGCAGAGAGGGAGAGCGGGCAACATGATTGGGTGAGTCGACCAAGTGTGTGCGTGTATGTGTGTTTCGCGTGATTGGGGACAGAGCAAGCAGGAGGATGTTAAAAAAAAAAAAAAAAAAAACAACTACAAGAAGGAAAAAAGAGGCTCTGGCGGGAGGCAGCTTACGTCTTTGTCTCGTGTCTGAGGGCAGGTGGCGGCCTGAGCTGTCTGTCTTGATTCCCCCGGTGACGTTTACGACTTCCACCTCGGCCTCGTCCTCGTGGCTCGGCTCGGGATTAACAGAAGATATTTTTCTTTTCATGCAGACAGTCACACTTGCACTGTTAATATGCCAAAATACAAGAAGTGATCAAAACTGTACAGTAGCCATCTTTCACACGAGATGGAAAATAAGGCTGTCGCTATCAAATCTTTTTAGAATCGCATTGTCCTATTAATATAATTATATCATATAAAAATTGGATGAAAATGCGGTATCGTCCGCCAATTGCCACATTTCTTAGTTATCTGTCAATAAATGATTATTTTGCCATCAAAAAGTCTCTGTCAGTTTATAGTCTGAGCACTATAAGGCGCACCTAAAAGCATTCGATTTTCTCAAAAGCAGACAGTGCGCCTTATAATCCGATGCGCCTTACATATGGATCAATATTCAGATTTCTTGGACGTAGTATTTTAACTGTTCTGTAAAGCGCTTTGCTACAGTGGTTGTGAACGCTCTATATAAAGCTGTATTATATTGTATTGTATTCTCTTTAGCGTAGCTCCATCTAGTGGTTGCATAATGCAACCGCAGCCACTATTGTAGCTTCTATGCGCCTTATAATGCGGTGCGCCCTAGATATGAAAAAGTATTAAAATAGGCCATACATTGAAGGTGCGCCTTATACTCCGAAGCGCCCTATAGTGTGGAAAATACGGTACTGCAGCAACTGTGCTGCACTTTCTCTTCTCTTGTGCAAACAAGGCAATGGTATCCACCCTGGTTGACAAGAACTTGAGTGCCTCAAGGTGTGTTGTTAGTGAGTGGTGTCAACTACATAAGAGCGACCTCTCAGCCTCTTTTTTCCTTCTTTTTCTTCCTCGGCCCTTCTGGTTTCAAAACAACGCGAACGAACCGGGCAGGAAACATTTGAATTCAAATTTTCGCTTCGATTGGGTGAGTCGCGGAAAGCCACACTCGCTCACTTCGACGACACTCGGACTCGCCCTGCATGCTGATTGGCACCTGCGCTTGGATGTGCCTATCAATGCATCACTCTGTGTGCATCGCTCTGTGCTGTGCCTGTGTTTGTGTGTGCGTGTGTGTGTACACTTTGCATAGAAGGACCATCCTGTTCGAGCACAGGAAGCTTGGCCAAGCCACTGGGAAGAAAGAAGGCTGTGTGCACGTGTGTTTGTATTCACAGTGATATTCACTTCCCCCCTGTTGTGCTGGTGCAGCCGTAAATTAAGGTTAAAGCTCCTTTTGGGTCATCTCTGAACAACACAAATTTAACTAATCCGAATGGCTTATGCTGCTTTATGTCACATGTCACAACAACAAATAGTTAATGCAAAAATGGCACAAGATGTGCCTTAAAAAAAAAAAAATTAAATATGAGCAATCGCTGCTGACACTCGGGCGAGAGGTAGGGTACATCCAAATAAGCATGTGAAGATGTGACGATGCCATCAAACAGTCAAAACGGCCCTCTTGAGGGAAACCAGAACTAGAATGTGGTCTTGTGGCCAAAATGAGTGTGACCCCCCTGAGCTTCGGCACATTCACTGGGCCAAGTCACTCGTTTTGCTTTTGAAAAATCTCACGGCATGCCACCAAACATAAAAAAATAAATAAAAATAACAACAAATACTGACATAATAATGATTTGGTCTCAGTTCACTCTCGAATGTATCTGTTAGAGTTAGATCAACAAAAATCTGATACACACTCACAAATGGCAGCAGGTGGCTTCCTTCGCAAGCTAAATTGTAATTGAGTAATTGGAATCCTGCCGTCGAACGGAAAAGCATTTAATTGTTTTACCTGTCACTGAATGTCACTGGCATAGATGTACAAACAAAGATATGTTTGCAAATAATACATATTTTTTTAAATTGAAATTGGATGATTTCCTGTGGCACCCTTGGCGGCCACAGTAACAAATCACTCATTTTGAGCACGGGTGTCAAACTCATGGCCCATCGGCCAGGTGCAGCCTCAATTTTTTCCTTCCCCACTATATAGTGTTGCACTCCACGTTTTTTTCTTCTGAGTGGATTTGTTTCTATCTTGTTTTTTTTTTTTGTTTTTTTACACTGTCAAACTCATGGCCCATCGGCCAGGTGCAGCCTCATTTTTTTCCTTCCCCACTATATAGTGTTGCACTCCATGTTTTTTTCTTTTGAGTGGATTTCCACGTTTTTTTCTTCTGAGTGGATTTGTTTCTATCTTGTTTTTTTTTTTTGTTTTTTTACACTAAATCCCTTCTTAACAGTATTTTCATAGTTGACAGTTTTCCCATTTAATAGATATGACACCAATAGATTGTTAGGCCAATTCTATGTGTGTAATAATATGATGACATTTCAATAACTTCACCCAGGAGGGATTCGGAATTTGAACCAAGAACCTCAAAATTGTGAGGCAGAGTCACATAAACCACTGACTATGAGAATTAACAATTCAACTTACAGGAATGCAAAACCAGTGTCACCTACACCCACAACAATATAAAGATATTTTTTTTAGGTGAAAGAATTATTATTTGGAGGCGGGGGAGGGGGGGGGCTGTCATGCAGAATGTCATGATCAAATTTTTTTTTTAGGTGAAAGAATTATTATTTGGGGGCCGGGGGCTGTCATGCAGAATGTCATGATCAAGTGTACCTAATCATGTGGCATTTCTATTCTAGCACAAGCAGATGGGAAAAGAGGCCCACCAATATATACTGACTTGAGAATGAGGCTCTAAGGCTGGCTGCTGTTTGTCTCCAACAAACAAAGGCAGTATTTGTTTTTAAAAAAGGCAAATGAAAAGTGTCAGGCTTCAGACGCGTAAAAAAAAAAAGACAGCTCAGATGGGTGTCTATCCGTACGTTGAACACGCTGAGCTGTCTTTTGCGCATAGTAATATTTCAATTAAGAAACAAATGCACTAACGTTTTCGTTGCATAACGAACGACTGCTAACGGGGTATTTACCTGTTGCGGAGGAAAAGCGGCCGGTAGTCAAGACATCCACAGGAGGGCAATTCGGATAGCAGCGGAGGAAAGAGCAAAGCGAGGAAGTGTAGAAGGCGGGGCCGACGGCCGACTGGAAGGGGGCGGAGCCCGGCATTCAAGCCGGAAGTCATTTCGTGTTTTACTTCCCCATTAGATTTTCAACGTAAATTGTCGTGCGGAACGAAACGGGGGCGCTCGCTTTACGACCGAATGAAATCAACTATAGATTTTAACTACAGTGATGCACACAAGAGTTAGTGGTTAAATGTTTTCTTTGTGTGATTAAAATCAAAGCGTGGAAAAAAAAGTCAAGTGAGAGGTCAGCTAGCTTGACATTACGTCACCATGCAAAACAATGAAACGTAACACGAGTTGCAAAATTTACCATGTTCTGTACATATACAGTGTATGTATAAAAACAATTCGACTAGTTGTTCAATGGTTGAGACAAGAAAAGTTTCAATTACTGTACACCCATTAAAGGCACCAGTTCCATAGAATTGTATTTTCTTTCGAACATCATTGAAACTAGGACTTATGAATTATTGGATATATTATCAAAGCCAGTTTAGACGACTGAAGCTCTTTGCCTAACACTTTGACAAAAGTAACTTGAGCATACTATTGTTTTAATTCTACAATACACGTAATGACTGGTCACTTAGTGCTCACCACAGTTTATTTCAGAAAAGAAAACGCAGGCATCAAAATAACTCTGAAGGCAATTTCTCACAATAAAATATTCGAATGCATTAAGCCAAATTGTATATACAAAACAAAATATGTTTCTTCAATGTTAGTGTTCTTTTTGATAACTGCACAACTCAGGCCTGGACATGGGAGCCACTCCAAAGTGCTGCAGATGGATGGTGAGCATGCATTCGGTAGCTTCAACCGAGCTGTGTTCAGAAGGCTTTGAAGAGCTGGTTGGGCAAGTATCCGAGGTGGAGAAAGGACGTCTGGGCCTCTCTCTCCAGGTTGGCCAGCTCTTGCACCGTCGGGGCCAGCACGTCCACGTGACCCTTGTAGTTGCCACCTAAGACCACAAAGCAGCAGCGGCGGTAAATACGACACAGGTACAGCAAGGTGTAAACTTCAGAAACACAACTTTAAATCTAATGTGTTTTTTTTTTCATGAAACGTTATTCTATTCTGATGGCCAGTTTGGACTCTGGACCATGAAACCCGTACCTCCCAGTGTCCTGCGTTGACCATAAGTGACCTTCCCGTCAAAGTCGTCCACTGGTACCTTGATGTCGGGCTCGCACTGGGTGATGGTGCACTTGAGGTGTTCCTCGATTTCTGACAGGAGCTGCGATTTAAAAGGTGAGAACAGACAATGCCGACTGTCACAACAACAAAACAATAACAACAAGTGAAGGATTTCTGAATGCGAGGGCGCCAGTCACCTCTTTCTCATTGTACCAAATGGTGCAGCCTCCATCCTGCTTGAGTCGCGTGTTGTAGCAGCCTCTGCCTCGGTTTGGGCAGACGTGGTACCACACCTGTCACCGCAAATATAACAATCCGTTGCCAAAAGAATCAGAAATACAACACAGTGTTGATGATAAACTGCTGCTCAAATGTGCTACTGAAGGAATTGAGACAGAAAGTATATGGGAGGAGACAAAAAGGCGCAGTATTATTTAGAACATTGGGGGGGGGGGTCACTATAAATAGTAAGTCCTCTCTAAAGGGGCTGCAGCTATTTGTGGAATTACTAGATTTCTGTCGTCGTTTCCGAATAGACGTTTCGAATTGCCTGTAGATGACACAGGATGGAAACAAAGCACTATATTATTAGGCGGGGCTTTAGCCTCTCGTTGGAGATCCTCCTCTCACTTCAACATAGTTCATATTGACACCATCTTTTTCGTGTTTATAGATAGAGCACAAAAACAGTGATTAATGGTGGCGAGAAAAAAAAATCATGAATGTTATTAGGCAAGTAGTGAATCACAAATAGGCAGGTGAACACAGTACTTTAGTTTAGGAACAATTCCAACTAAAAATAGCATCTGATTCAAATACTCTATATGTATGTGATAGAGAGTATGGACAAACTCAAAGTTATCATGTTTAAAAGTTTCATTTTGTTGTATGATTGATTGACCTCGAACGCGGGTGTTTCGAGCACACAGAAAAAACGGCCAACTTGAGCTGAATGAAACTGAGGCCTTGTTCACTGATTGTACAGACAGGAAGGTTCAACTTCAGGTGGGCAGCACGAAAAGACGTCCTTGAGTTTGTTAGTGTCTAAATTCATGTGAAATCTACCCATTGATGTAACAAGGTATCCATTGTTTGTACCGAGAGATGTTTTGGCCTCCAGGTGCCCACTGAGGGGCGTGACATGTAAATGAAGAAGGGAGTGTTTTTCTGATATATCACTTGTAATTTGCATACACGATCAATAAAAAGCCGGCAGAGGCTGCAGAGGTCAGGTGTCAGTGAGAAGCGCACACTGAGTGGCTTCATAGAAAACTGCGCCTTCCGCCGGCAGCAAAGACAATCTCTTCCTGAGCGAACATCTCTGACAGTATGCCTTTACCACTAGCATACAATACTTAACTATTTCAACCTTGCTCAATTCTGCCAAACGGGCTGTGGTAAAAGTCAAGACGTCGATCAAAAAATAAGAACTCAGTCTAAATATTATTAAACGCATGCAAAATTGCTGCCTTGATGAGCAGCGGCAGAAATGAAAATACTGGCCGACGTGGAAAAGAAAAAACAAAAAAAGAAACTTGAGAAAACTTTACCTTCTCTTTCTCCATGGCAACCAATGAGATGGCCAACCCCATTCTGTACGTTGAAAAAGGAAATACAACTTTGAAGATCCATTAAATAATCGACAAATGTACCCCGTTAAACTCCTCACCTCTCTGCTCGACCCACTCGGCCGATACGGTGGACGTAGTTCTGCTTCTCATCTGGCAGGGTGACGTTAATCACTGCAAAAATGGACTACAGTTTGAGATGTAAACCAAAAAAAGTTGCTCATTCTTTGTATTTGAACTCAAATTGTTGTCTGAATCGGCGCTACCGTAAGGAACGCCTCGGATGTCAATCCCTCTGGCGGCGACGTCGGTGCAGATCAGAAGCCTCACTTCTTTTCTCTGAGGACACAAGATGACTTCAAATCTTGAACAACAGTCAAAACATTGGCCGCTCGTTTTGCAAGTTCTTCCTTGACCTTGAAGCGGTCCAAGTTGTTCTTCCTCTCGTGGGGCTTGCGATCGCCGTGAAGACACACACAGGAAAACTGGTGGTTTTTACTGTCTGGACCTGGTGGAAAGTGACAATGTTATAATTCAAAAAAAGAAAAAAAAACACCTAAGCTTTTTTTATTGTCTTTTCTTACCTCCTCCCTGCTGGATAAAGTATTGCTCCATGTTGTCACAGTCTATCTTGGTGCGGCAGAAGATGATGGCCTGGTCCATTTTGTGCTCTTTGACAGCCCTCACCGTGTACTCGCCTTTCAGCACCTTGATGGCCTCAGACCACATTTCTGGCGTACGCAAAAATGCTACGTTGACATACACTTGGATCAAGTGTAGTATGCCATGTAGAAATGTTACCAAACTCACCGGCTGAGTTGCCCCCTGGTCTGGTGTTATCTTTGGCATGGACCTCATCAGTCTAGCACAACGGCAAAACACACACACACACACACACACACACACACACACACACACACACACACACACAGTTACACAGTTTGCTGCCTAAACGGGCTTCCGCGGAAAAGTAAATGCAAAGGAAACATGACGACATGACCATTGAGAAGCGGAATCCCCCCCCAAACAGCTGACTGGAAATACCCCCAACTTACCTGGACGTGGTTCTTGCCCAGCCGCTCCCAGAGGCGGTCGGCCTTGGGGTTGACAGGCACAACCACGTGGTGCACGGTCTCGGGCACCGAGTCCTCGCCCTTTAGGTCCACCCAGGTGGGGAAGTGCATGATGCGCTCCGACAGTTTCTTCACATCGAACGAGTGGAGCGTGGCCGAGCACACGATCACCTGCACCCAACCATCTTAATTGTGATAATCAAATTGTGTAATACCTGGTCCAGGCCCGTTTTTGCAGACCCCCCCCTCTCAGTACCTGCAGCCGTTTTCCATCAGACGTCACTTGAGGGATCTGATTATGGATTCTGTTGATGAAGTCCGTGTAGCCCGCTGTCAAGAGGCCATCCTGGAGACGACAATACAAGCGTGCCAGATCATTGCCCTGAGTTGTGAACAACAGCAAACCAAAATCATCCGAAAGGGATTTTGGATCATCCGTACACATTCGTCAAGGACCAGAAAGCGGACTTGGGACAGGCTGAGCTTTCCGGTGGATATGAGGTCATCCAGTCTGCCGGGGGTCCCCACCACAATGTCCACCTAAAAAGGGAGGGGTCACCAATTGAAAAGGCGGGACTAGGAAGTCCACTGCAACTCAATTTAGGTGACGGGTACGTACGCCTTGCTCCAGAGCGGACATTTGCTCCTTGGCAGCCACGCCGCCGATCACCAGCAGCTCCCTGCCCAAAAAAAAAATGAAAAGTCACATTTGTACTGGAGCGATGGTGACATCTACTGGTCAGATGTTTGCATTGCGCTTCAAGGAACAGTCGTGAGGGAGCAAAAAAAAAAATAAAAAAGATTTGCGTGGCACCTGAGTTTGGGGCTGACCACGTATTTCTTGAACTGCGTTACGTTGTTGAGGGTCTGCTCGGCCAGTTCCTTGGACGGCTCGATGATCAGCGCCTTGGGAGCGTTGCTGGACCCTTTCGCCTGACTTACTTTGGCACTCCCTGCCAAAAAACAACCAAACTCACGGTGACGATCGTTCTCAGTGCAGCAGACAGTTTTTATTTGGAAAAATACTAACCTGTCTGCGAAGACTTGACCGTGTGGGCGTCTGGTGCCTGATCCAAGGCGACGAAGCCGCTCTTGGGCGGATATTTGAAGTCCTCCCCGCCAAAGTTGAATTTCAGCTCAGCATTCTGGCGCACACACACAAAAATGGCATTTTTAATGTCGTGAGTTGACCTTGTTTGTGTTTATCATGACCAATGTTAAATGTGTTAATCAATACCTTGAGTACACAGGACGCAAAGAAGGGCTGATTCCTGAGATTTTGAGGGATCTCAAAAGCCAAACCCAGATCATTACCTGGTTGATTTGGAAACAAACACAGAACACCAAACTGGGTGAGTCCTTTTGCATTTTAAAATACGGATTCACTTACCGAACACAACATTAGATACACTTGTGCAATCTAACAAAAGTTTTAATTAAATTTCATGGAACTGTTGAATGGGAATTTAGCACGATTTAGGCTTGCCTTGTAGAACTAGTTTAAATGTTGGCCTAAACAAAAGAGAATCCTACAATGGTCTGTTTCAAATGACAGTTGAAGGTGGATGTGGACAAAAATAATCTCTTAATTTTGGGCTTTTATTTTGAAATGTTCAGTCGTTGGTGGAATTGGAATCAACTGAACTGCTTGAGGTTGGAATCGTTTGAATTGGTCAAGAAATGTTATTTTGCATTATTTAAAAAAAATAAAAATTAAATCGCTGGTGCTGGGCGAAATTCTCATATCTCCAAATTCACTGAAATTAGTTAATAATTTAAATACTGTATAACATAGCTGAAATTTGTAGTTACAATCGGGGATGATATGAGGGACAGCTCTCATGTTGATGCAAAGCGGTGCAACCAAAATAGTCATTTTTAATACCTTCCATAACTGAGCATTATTATATGAAATACTATCATGACGAGACAGTATATAACCGTCATAATAATAATCATAATAATAATAATAATAATAATAATACCATTTTTGGAGAAAGAAATGTGGCCTTTGTCCATGTCAAGGAAGCATCCAATTGTGTCGTGCATGGTGAACTCCTGCAAAGAACCAAAAAAAAAAAAAAAAAACAAAAACAAAGCAATTTTAATATATATTTTTTTAATAACCGCGTGCAACGCTAACCCACTGAATGTAAATTTGGTGTTCGACCTCGCCATAGCTGTCAAACTGCTTATTGTTCGATTTCTTTCCGGTTCCGCCAAAACCAAACCCGTACTTGTCGGTTCCTACGGAGGAATGAAAAAAAAAAAAACATAGTCAAGCAAAATAAATTCTAATGATAATTTTAAGTTGGTTGTGTTT